TTTGTGCAGATACCTCGTCAAATAAAAAAGTTTTCCATACAAAAGCTTGGTTTTGATCGGTCAGTTTGTATGACAGCTATATGCTATAGTTTTCGAATAACGACGGTTCCGGCAAATGAACAGCTTCTTGTGAAGAAAAGAGCGTGTTAAAAAGCGGAGGAACTGATTCGCGTATATACGGAAAGACGGACAGACAGACGGATGGACCTGGCTATATATAAACTTCGTGGTTTTACTAACCTCTTCAGGGTTTAAATATTACCAACTTAGCCCTAAGCGCATCCTAGCTTCTGCATTTATTTATTCATATGGTCTTAATTAAGTCACGTGTGTTTCAAGATCTATCCTTCTGACGATCCACTTTTCATTCGATCTCTCAATACCACTTTGAAAGTTTCGAAGACCACAATCCAAAATATTAAGAACCTAACCCAGTTTTAGAATATTTATTAAAGACTTGATTAAGTTAAGTTACGGTGCTGATACCCGTGATCTAAAGCACGGCACGAGATCTACTAGATATGGATCACTAGACGCTTATACATAGAACGGCGAAGCAAGTTAAGCTTACCACAAATTCGGCTAAGCGACTTCACTAGGTTTGCCGAGATGTTTCAATCTCATTCTGGCAAAAGCTGGACAGTTGCGAAAAAAGTGCCTATATCATTCAACCTCGGCTTGCTACATACAGCTTTGGCAACTTGTATCCAAAAAGATATGTATGTTAACTCATCGCCCAAGTTGACCATCGCTTGGCAAGCGCACGGGTGGTCCGTAGAACCAACGCTAGAGCGCAGGAGGACAGCGGAGTACCAAATCGTTTTCAATTTGATGAGATCTCAATGGAGACCCTTTTAATGGAGTAAAATCTTAAAAGAGTAACGCCCACAGAGATACGGTAAGAGGGAAACCAAATGAGGTTCCACAACAAAACATCGATCACACAAATTTATTATATAGTATACATATTCCAAAAGATTAGCTTCAACATAACATTACCTTTTAACTTTCTTTGCTACCCAAAGTTGTCGCTTAGGTTGCGTTGCCTCGATTAATTGCACACAATGCGTCGGAATTGCGGGAACTAATGAAATAGCGATAATGAGATTTATGTGTCGATTGCCGCCGATGTTGCTGCCGCTTTAATTCTTGCTGTTGTTGGTATGCGTATTGGAATTGATCAATCCGGACTTGTCGCAAAAACAGCACTTTTTCAACTGCAACTTCTTCGGCTGTCGCCGCAATGGTTTTGCACAATCTGCTGTTGGCTGCGCTGCTGTCTGACAGTGCCGCCGGCGTCGCTGACGTTTCTGGCACTAAACGCTCAACTCTTGGCAAATGTGCTGTTAACGCTGGTGACGGCAACAACATTTAGACTGTTCAATCAATTTGTAGAACGGAGGAGAGAGACAGAGAGAGTGCGTGTGTGAGCGAGTGAGACAGCGACAGTTGGTTGGAGCGGGAGCAGAATGCAAAGAGTTCTATGCACTACTTATTGTGCGCTTTGTGGCAACTCTACTATGCAATCGCTGTTGTTGCTGTTGTTTTTGTTTGCAGAAAATATGTGTTTGCTGTGTGCTGGTGTTGATTGCAGCTCAAATGGCGGCTTTGGCCCATTGGCTGGCTATTGGTCAATGCTGCTTTTCCTATATTTTGTTGTTGTTGTTGTTTTTGCTTGCTAGCTATCCGTTGGCTTGTGACGCAAACGCGACAATTGCTGACGATGACACTGAATTTAGTTCTACTATTCGCTTTTACAGTTACTGCTTAGTTGGTGTTGTTGTTCTTGTTGTTGCTATTGTCATTTGTTCTAGAATTTTCGGCACCTTTGTGGCTGTTTGCTGCTACTCGATTGTTGCTGTTACTATTATTGTTGTTGTTGTTGTTTGGCAACGTTGCTTTGTTCATGTAATTCAAGCCGCTGCGGTGTCGCTTACAACAAGTTGCATGCAATTTGACAACACGTTTTAGTCACTGGCGTTCATCTTACATTGCTTGTACATTATCATGTAGGTGTGTGTGTGTGTTTGTATGTATGTCATTGCAAATTTTTTCACATAATTTAATTGTACACACTCCTCTGCTTTGTTTTATGCTTGCAATCACTTGATTGTTGTTGTTGCTTTTGGTTTTTTGCAATATTTTCTTTGTTAATGTTGCAATCTGGAATTTCGGAAAGAAATTTGTAATTAATAAAATTGCAAAAATGTATTTAGTTCTCAAAGTTTCCGATGACATTCAAGCGCAAACATGTGTTCATAATTATATATGTTACATACATTTATATATGTATTTTAATAACTGGAATGTATTTTTTGGGGATTGCGCTTGTTTGCGGTAAATTAATTCGATATTTTTGAGTTTGAGCAATTCCTGCTAATTTCAACATATTTATTTATTATTATTTTCAAGTATTTTTGAAATTTTTTGAGCGATTTCTCTATAGTTATTTAATATAAAGAAACCATCTATTCATTTTTTTTTGTAATTTTTTAGGTTTTTTTTTTTTATAACTTATATGATCGAGTTTTTTTTGTGTAATGAGTGTTTTTTTTTGTAAAGGGTTTACGCACACATTCAACAAACGTGATATATCAACCATAAAATACTATTAAAGAAATTGCAACATTTTTTGTTCAGAAAAAAAAATTATTTTTATAAAAATAAGTACTGACAAAGAAAGAAAAATAAAATAAAAATTTTGAAAAAAAACTTTTTTGTGTCAAAAATTTTTTTAATTTTTTTTTTGTGTCCAAAATTACCTTAGCAGCTTCAAAATTTGAGTTTACAATAAAACAGTAAACTATATCCAATTAAACCAAATATCCTAAATATATGCCAAAACGCCTTAGAAGCAATTATGTTTCTTCAATTGGAACCGCAAATATTTACCTATAAAAACTGCAATCAAAACAGTTTGCCGATTTGTATGGTTTAAAAGTTCTTTGACATCTTTTAAAAATAGAACGCGCCTAGAAGCCTGCTTCAAATAAAGTAAAAAATTTCTCTGAAATTTCAATCAAATATAAAATATTATACCTATATTAAACCGCTCTGAGATAAATATAACATATTCTCTCATGACTTTATTATTCATTACAGTACAAATTTGCCTACATAGAGGTATCAAAACTATTAGTATTTAGTTTGTCATGTAGCGCGGGGCTTAGCCTTTACAACACTATCTTATTTACTAAGTTTGATTTCATCTAAAAGTCGGAAAAGGTATAAAATTCCATACAGAAACTTTATTAAAATGGATATTCTCACTTTTACTTCGAATCTTAAGTAATATTTTCGCCCTACTATACTAGTGATTAGTATAAGTAATCCAAATGTAAGGTACTCTCTGATGTTTTGCTCAAAAAGTTGTAAACAAAAATTTTTTAAAAGTATAGTCAGGCGGTAAAAATTGATTGAAAATCCAGTAGATTTGCTTTAGAAAAAATGTCACAGGCTCTTTTTTAAATATGAATATAGATTGAGTGTTTTTTTCTTTCTAATAATTCATAAACAAACTAAATAAACAATAAAGTAATAAATACAAATAAATTACAAGAATTAGTACGTAACTTTAAAAGTTATAAAAAAGTTTGCATAGTTTTAATTTCAGTAAAATTGTTTCCAATTATATTGAAATGATTATTCTGCTTTACTTTCGATTGCTTCTCCTTTTTAAAATTTGTGCTTACTATATACATCCATACTTATTTGAGCACTTTCAAATGCTAATAATACTAGCCAACGCCACTTTTAAGTAAAAATATTTATACAAATGCCCAACCCAAGTGTGCTACGCACTGCCACGCGTTCAGGGTTGAAAATGTGATGTCTTGCAGTTAGTCATTATATTGTATGAAACACGCTGCAAAGCCTTTTATTATAATTTTATACGTTTGTTATTGTTGTTTTGGTATTTTCTGTATTGTGCGCGCACTTTACAAAGATAAAAATAAAACAAAATAAAAAGAACTAAAATATTAATAAATGTGTAAATTGTGTATCGCAATATTTTAGCGCTGTCGCCGCCGCCGCTAATGCTTCCAACACCCAACATGTAATGCGAAACTTTGCGTATACGCACCGTGAAATCGGCGTGTGCCGCGTCGCAAAGCGTGAAGCAAGTGAAACAGGCGCAAAAAAGATAAAAGAAATATATGCAATGAAAACGAAACGAAAATGTTATACAAAGTGCTTTCGTTTTTTTTGGTTTGTCATTATTTTTTGCAGTAATTTTTTTGCCAAATTTCCTGATATAATTTTTTACCAAAACATTCTGCTATATTTTTTCCATAATTTCTTGCGATAATTTGGTTTGCTACAATATTTTGCCTTAATTTTGTGCAATAATATTTTCTCATAACTTTTTGCTACAATTTTTTGCTATACGTTTTTTTTTTGTGAAAATTTTGCCATAATTTTTTTGCCATAATTTTTTGGCCATAATTTTTTTGCCATAATTATTTTTGCCATAGTTTTTTTTATACTTTTCTGCTATAGTTTTTTACTATAATTTTCTGCTATTATTTAGTGCCATAATATTTTTGCTATATTTTGTTTTGTTACACATTTTTTTCTGCTACAATTTTATTGTTATACGTTTCTTTTTGTGAAAATATTTTGCCATAGTATTCTATAAATTTTTTTTTTATATCTCTTTGTCATACTTTTCGTTTTACTTTAATTTTTATTTTCGTTAATTCAAGTTGCTTTGTACTTCGTTACTTGAACGCTTGTTTACATTAAATTGAAATTACATGAAATGTATGAGTACTATGTATAAATATTATTGTTGTTGTTGCTGCGTTATGTGTACGTTATTATTCGCTTAAGTTTAGCCATTGTTTATACAATTTACAGCGAAGCACGCGAGTTAAAGCATAAATAAATTAATTCTTTTTGTACACAAAAAAAAACGATTATGGCAAAAACAAAAATAAAAATCAAAATTAAAAATACTAAAAATAAGTAATACGAATAAATAAGCTAAACGAAATAAAATGCGTGAAAAAAACATAAATCCAGTTATAAGTTGATTAAAATTGAAAAAGAAAAAATATGTACAAATATACAAGATAATTTTTTTATTGACGTGTATTGTCGCTTGTTGCTGCTGTCGCTGTTATTTGAGCCGTTGTTAATACATTGACAGCGTATTAATATTAAAATAAAACTCGATATCCACACAGGTGGCTGCTCGCCTGGCGTACTTACTAGCTGGCTGTCTATCCGACTGCCGAAATCTTTGGTTGAGTGTTGCTTGATCGGCCGACTAGCCGGCTGTCGAGCGCTAGCTAGCATACTAGCCACACTCGCTATGCATAAAATCACAGTTATAAAGCAATGTTTGTCCGTCTGTCTGCTCAACTATCAATATGTTTGCTGGTGCCCTCATCTTATACACAGCCAAACATGTACATATAAACCCATACAAATATATATACACACATGCATATCTAGCAATCTGTGTCATTTTGACTGACAATTTTTCGTTTACTGACTGCTACAATGATTTGGCTTTTTTCAGTTTGCATATTTGTTGTTGCTTTTGCTAGCTGTTTTGCTGTGTTGCATACGATTTATTGATTGTTACTTGCTATCACTTTTTATGCCGTTGTGTGATTTTCTCCACATTTAACATTAAGTTGTATGCAATTTATGGTTTTGGACACAGCAAGTAGCGCGCAAGTGAGTAATGTATAGTTTTGAAATTTTTTGTTGGTTTATTTTTGAAAAAAATAAAAAAAATAAATTTTGAAAACAAAATTAAAAATAAAATACAGTTTAATAATTTATTTTGGCTTTAAACTTGCACAATTTGCATAAGTTAAAAATTATATATATCACTCCAAACTTATATTGTATAATTCTTATACATATTAAGCAATAAACAAATCAAAAAGAATGTTGATATTGTTTGGTATGGATGTAGGTATTATTTTATAAAATAGTTTTGTTTTAAAATAATTAATACTTCTCGAAAAGAAAATTGTTAAAAAAAAATATTATAAAAGTGCAAATTATAAAGTTCAAAAGAAATTTAAGGACAATATTTTAAGAAAATGATAATAAATGGAGAAAAGGATTGAAACTAAAAATTCTCCTTTTGAGAAATTGTTAAAATTTTGAAAATATTCAGTCCCTCATTAGCCGTTTCAAAAAAGATTTTTTTGAAAACAAAATTTTTAAAAACTAAACAAAAATATTATTAAAGTGTATTTTAGTTAAAACGCTGAATAAAAAAAAATCGAATTTTGTATATATTTAAGCTTTAAAAAAATATTATTATTCGCAAATATTCTGTAAAAAAATTTGTACAAAAATATTTTTCATTTTAAAAATGCAAAAATAACAATTAAAAATACTACAAGAAATTAGGAAAAAAAATAAACTTTGGAAGAAAATAGACTGATGTTAAAGTCATGAATTTAATAAAAAAATATTTTTAGAAAATTTTGATATTTGAAAAAAAATACAGAAACAAGTTTTTTTGCAATTTTGTAATACTTGAAACCACATTAATGAACCGCTGGAGTTTTAAAAATATTAAGTGCAGAGAGTAGCCAATTTAAAACCAAAATTTTTTGAAAACAAACATTTAAAAAAATTAAATTTTAACTCATGCTAAAGTTTTTGATTAAGAAATCGATTTTCAAATATTGGATTTTAAAGAACTTGAACTCAAACTGCAAGCTGTGCTAAAATTTTTCGAATATTATCGAATATATCTCAATCATTACGTTTTAAATTTGAAAAACGAAATTTTTTCAAAAATCTATACATTTTTGAAAACAAGTAACGTTTGCTAAAATTTTTGGTTTGAGACGTTTAAAAATCTGGAAGGTTTCGTTAAATTTTTTCATTGATATTAATACTTTGCATATCTTAATTAAGCAATTTGAAATTTGTACAACCAATTTTTTTATTTAGAAATTTTTTTGAAACCTTTGTATATTTTTGAAATAAAGTTGTTACTTAGCTCAAATCTTTTATGATGTTGGGTTTTAAAAAACTGGAACTTATATTAAGATTTCGACAATTTTTTATTAAAAAAGTTAATAATTGAAACAGCTTGCTTAATAAACCGCAAAAATTATGAAAATGTGTTACGCTGAGAAGTAGCCATTTTGAACAAATTTTTGAATACCAATTTTTTTTTTAAT